CTTTCTATTGCTTCCTTGCAGAGGGTTGACTACATACTGTACCTTTACATGCTTACAGTCATCCTTTTCCCAGGGTGAGGGCACATTCTTTAACCTTGTCACGCCAGCTGCACACAAATGTGCGGCCTCCTGGTATCTGGGCCTAGACGCCGAGCGGCCGCACATTTGTGTGCAATTAAGAAAAACATGTGCTGAGAGCGTGCCCTGCGCACTCCCAGCACACATGTCCGGTACTCACAGAAAGGCCCCGATCTCCTCTTTCGATCGGGACCTTTCCTGATCACGTGACGGCGAATCACGGCGGTCACATGACCCTAAAACCCCGCCCCGCCTCCCGCCTTCTGAAATCCTTAAAGGGCCGGGAGGTGCCGGCGCCAAGGTGGGAATACACGATTAGAAAATCAACCGATCGGTCATCCGACGACCAAGTGCCGTTTGTTCTTTGGTTGAAATCGTGGCCCACATTAACCAATCTAGAAAAATCGTTCGTCGGGCAATACGTAGTGTTGACGTCTTCCGTACAAGTGGAAGTGATGCAGTGTGCGTGTGACCTTGTAGCCACGCCCTTCTGGCCAGAACGAGCGATATACACAATTATTAACAGCAATGAGTATAATATAGTTTATTACATTATCTATATAAATAAATAGTGATACATAAAATATAATCTGCAGAATTCTGGTTTCATGATCTCATTAGGCCAATCTACTTTTAACATTTGGATTTTTCGCTCGTGTTTGCATAGATTCCTTGGGCATAAACATCCGGGTCATCTTCTGTTTCCACTCATGTGTAATAGCACTTGATAGATTTTTTTTTTTTTCGTATGACTGTCATACCACCACATAGAAAATCGGTCGTTCGTATGCGCGAAACGACAAAATTTTTCACTGCTGTTCAACCGGATTTTTTCATTCACAATATCATTATCGGTTAAAACATCATGCTCATCAACGAAGAGAAAATCGTTCGTTTGATCAGTGGTTCTGCAAAATTTTCATACGATTTTCTTATTGTGTGTATGGGGCATTAGTTGCAAACAGGTATGAGAGGTGAGAACCAAGCTGAGGAGCAGCCAAAGCCTTAACCAGAGTCCTAGATCACAGCAAAAGTTCTGCACCTCTGAATAGATCCTCAGCAATTACATCTTGTATGGGTAGGTTTCCACATTGATTCCCATGACGTAAAGCACTGTTTCTCAACCTTTTTACGGTCAAGGCACCCTTTGAAATTTTGCACAATCTGGAGGCACCATTGCACAATGTAAAAAAACGAAACTAATAGTTTTACAGAATGCAGCAACATCTGCACATATGGGACACCCAACGTCAGAGGTGATTTATTCTTCCAAAGAAAATACACCTTTGCACACTGGTACTGACTAGTATGCCAATGTTTTTCTTTTTCCTCAGTTTCTAATGTGACCTGATGGAGAGGGGCAAACAAGGATGCTGTGCAGGAGGCTGATGTCCTTCTTATCAACTGATGACATCATTGGTTTTTTATGTTGTCAGCAGCTAGAAAGTTGGTGCACAATGAAAACCTGTGGCTTTGTGTAACTAAATGGCAGGCTTCATCCACCTGCTGGCTTGTATACAGTTTTTGGGCAATTTTTAGACATTTTGCCAAGGTACCTGTGAAGCAACCTGAATGCACTCCAGGGTGCCTGGGCAATCTGGTTGGAAAAAGGCTGATCTAGAGAGAAACCTTTCTCACTAATATCTGTCCCTCTATCAGCTCCCTTAGTCACCTACATAGCCTATTCTCTTTACAGGGTGCCCAACCACACATGCACACGCACGCACACACTCTCTCTGTGTATATCAACATCTAGTGGCTATTTTGGGGCAAATTACACTGGGCACCACTGCCCCTACCCTCCAGTTGCACTCAAAAATTGGTGAAGCAGTTACATTTAAAAATGTTCTCTTTATTTTAAAGCAATGCATGGCTAAGGCTGGATTTTCTTTCCAAATGTGATCAGTCCTTTTTATTTTAATGTAGGGACAAGACATTCTGGCCAGAAGCTCAGAGCTCATTTATTCGGGAGAACTGACAAAGATCTTCAAACAAGGCAAAAGCCAGCAAAGGACTTTCTTCCTCTTTGACCATCAGATGGCTTTCTGCAAGAAGGACTTGTTACGCAGAGACATTTTGTACTACAAGGGCCGGATAGACATGGACGAAATGGAGTTTACAGATGTTGAGGATGGAAAGGACAGGGACTTCAATCTGAACATTAAAAATGCTTTTAAAATGGTAAATAAAGAGACTGAAGAGGTTCATTTATTTTGTGCGAAGAAGCCAGAGGACAAACAGAGATGGCTGCAAGCATTTTTGGATGAGAGAAAGCGAGTCCAAGACGACAAAGATATGGGTGAGTACGTCTGTGGTGTACCGGGCAGATGTCATTGGTTAGAATCAAACACTGACTTCTGTATATGTTTTGGCAAAAAAAGTGAGTGCTTTACTCCAGTCTGCAGGGCAAATGCCTTATCCAGGAAAGACAGATGAATAGTCCTTCAAAGATGATTTATTTGATTGTTGTAATCTTGGCCAACACATTTCAGGGTTTTAGTAGATTGCCGACATCCGGGCTATAAACAAATTTCATAACATATCGGAACCATAATTGTAAAGGTGGAAGAGTAAAAAAAAAAGTTTAAAATGTATTTTATGCACATATGTCGGTGTCTCTCAGAAAGGTCCCGATCTCCCTGGCGATCGGGACCTTTTCCGATCATATGACTGCCGTGACAGTGAATCACGGCGGTCACATGACTCTAAAACCCCGCCCCGCCTCCCGCGTCTGAATCCCCTTAAAGGGCCGGGAGGCACCAGCGTGAAGATGTTAGACAAGTTCACCTTTTCGAGCAGAATTTCACTTTGCATCATAAATAGAAACGACTTCCAATGCCATTTCTGGCCCAGCCATTCCCTATGTGCTTTTCTCTCATTTGCCTCATTCACAGGATGTTTCATTTTTTTTATCAGTTTCTGTGAGATTTTGAATGAATTTTCAGATTACATCATTTCCTGTAGATGTTCTCTCAGCATTCGCTTCCTGTAGGCCACTTTCCAGAAGCCTCCACGTCCTTGTTGCATCACAGAAGAGGGTGTGATAGGGTGTGCTCACCACTCTGGATCACACGTCCCTCATTACAATGCTACCTTCCTTCCACCAGCTATGTGTAGTATAAGGGCCTGTCTGATTTGATACAAATGGAATAGATTGTTCAGGTGTGTCTTCCTATTCCATAGTTTTGGTAAATCTAAAGGAAATTATACAGATTGTACAATCAGATTGCATAGTGTATGGCCACCCAGAGACACCCAGTTGTCAGGCCCCGTTCACATCTTCATGTAGTGAAGACTCAAATTCCCTCATGCGTTTTGTGTTGGGTGTTTTGGAGCGTTTTCACTCATTATGCAAAGGGCAGCCCATTTACTTGAACGGACTGCTATACATGCAACAATTGCCCCAGAAAAGCTCCAGAACTTTTTTTGGAGCAGAGCACGGTGCCGTACTGAAGTTTTTGGTACATTTGCTGCACTTGGGGTGCCTTTTTAACAAGTAATGACAACACAAACGCAATGCACATTTGCAACGTGTTTCTAAAACTCATGGCAAAGCGTGCATTTTCTGTGCAGATTGCCATACGTTCGGAAACGCACAGATTTGAATGGAGCCTCATTGTTCTGTGCAAACCCACCAATTTCAGTTTCAGGCCCCATTCACTCCGAGAGTAGAGGGAGTACCTGTTTTTTTGGCTTGTTTTTCCTGTTGATTTCAGTGGGCTGCGCTACACGTGGCAAAGTATCTCATGGGACATTTTGGCGTGATGCAAGTTGCATATTTTTTACTGCATGTTTTGCTGCATTTGTCCCGTGTTTCCATGTAGCAAGATGTGTGATTGTTTGTGTGTTTGGTGTGCCGTTAACAATTAATGACACTGACAGCGCAACTAGTTAATTTTAGGTGTATAAATGCGGCCATACACTATACAATCTGATTGATTGTACAATCTCAAGATTTACCAAAACTATATAATAGGAGGACACGGCATCTATCCAATCACTCTATATCCAATCAAGCAGGCCCTTGCATTACATCAGGGGTGTCCTATGGCCTGAGCCTGTCTGAAAGGATGCTGGGGTAGCCAAGCAAATGCACATGGGGAGAGATCCTGGGGATGTTGTGAAAAAATAGTTGATGGATGAAGGGTGTGTACTGATGAGGTCAGTGCAGAATGTGTGCTAATGAGATCAGCTGGTAATCTGCTTCCGGGGTCCTATTGGCTCCTCTGTCCTCTGTCTACATTCCAGGAATTGAAAAGAAAAAGCTTTCTAAGAAATTTACCAAGGGCTAAGGTAAGGCCTTGTTCTCCAGATCAAAGAGACCTGGAATATTTTTCAACTGAGGTACGTCAATGGTATACTGGTGCAAAGGATAGCTGGTTTTTTAAAAAAAGAAAAGAAGTGAACTTGGCCTTTAACCCCCTCCCGCCCACCATATAAGGTAATGAAGGGCGCAAGGCAGTTCTCTCGTTCTAGGAGAACATCATATGATGTCATCCCATTCTAACCGTGCATGTGCGGCTCCAGAAGCGTGCAGCGCAGCGATCGGTGGTGCGCTGTGTCCCTCGGACACAGCGGATCACCGATCCCGGAAAGAGCCGAAAATGTCAGCTCGGTCATGTGATCAGCTGTGTACAATCACATGATCACATGTAAATAGGAAAATGCTGGTTATTGGCATTTTCTCTCCTCCCAAGCTGTCACACTGACAGCTCAAGCGGAGAAGAGAGCCACCATATAAGGTAATGAAGGGCGCAAGGCAGTTCTCTCGTTCTAGGAGAACATCATATGATGTCATCCCATTCTAACCGTGCATGTGCGGCTCCAGAAGCGTGCAGCGCAGCGATCGGTGGTGCGCTGTGTCCCTCGGACACAGCGGATCACCGATCCCGGAAAGAGCCGAAAATGTCAGCTCGGTCATGTGATCAGCTGTGTACAATCACAGCTGATCACATGTAAATAGGAAAATGCTGGTTATTGGCATTTCTCTCCTCCCAAGCTGTCACACTGACAGCTCAAGCGGAGAAGAGAGCCGGTAATCGGCTTTACTCAGAGGGGACATGTACGCTGATCATCAGGGTACTGATGATCAGTGTGCCCTGATGATCTGTGTAGCCCCAGCAGTGCCACCTCTGTGTCCAAAAGTGCCAGCTGTCAGTGTCTATCAGTACCTCATCAATGCCACACATCAGTGCCTACCAGTGCACATCAATGCCACATATCAGTGCCCATCTGAGCTGCCTTTCAGTGTTGCCTATCAGTGCCACCTATCAATGCCAGTCAGTGCTACCTATCAGTGCTGCATATCAGCGCCAGTCAGTGCCACCTATCAGTGCCATATATGAGTGCTGCCTATCAGTGATGCCTGTCAGTGCCCACCAGTGCCTCCGCATCAGTGTCCATCAGTGCAGCCTATCAGTGCCCATCACTGCAGCCTCATTAGCACACATCCGTGAAGGAAAAAAAATCACTTATTTACAAAATTGGGGTTGTTTTTCACAATTTTCAGTAGTTTTTGGTTTGTTTAGCAAAAAATAAAAAACCCAGAGGTGATTAAATACCACCAAAAGAAAGCTCTGTCTCAAAAAAATGATAAAAATTTCATATGGGTACAGTGTTGTATGACTGCGCAATTGTCATTCAAAAAGTGTGACAGTGCTGAAAGCTGGAAATTGGCTGGACAGGAAGGGGGTATAAGTGCCCTGTAGGCGAGTGGTTAAGTTGTGTTACCAATGTTTTCATATTGACTTTGATGGAATCTTGTGAATTTGTTCAAAATACAACAGGCCTTATTTATTTCACAGTGCAAAATGTTCCTATTAAAAACAATGCATTTGTGTCATGTCCATGTATTTTCCCAGTACTGGAAAATGCAGCCTAATACAAAAGTGTTCTTACGTCATAGTTGTATTTTGGTACAGGACATAAAATGAACCGTTTAGGTTTTAATAAACGCCATGGTGTTTTTACTAATTCTTTTCAGCAAAGTCTAAGTCAACAGACCCCTGCACTGCATCGTGGGGTGTGAAGGAGTTGTGTCTTTTAACGAATGAAAACTTGTGTAACTTGGGGCTTCCAGCATGTGTTGGAGGCTCTTTGAAGCTGGTGACAGCAACTGGCAGACACCAGATAGTATCTACAAAAAAACAGCCTTAACAAAGCTGAGTGGCCAGACTGTGCTTTTAAAGGAGCATAAAACCTAAAAAATTAAAAGATTTCACAATAAAAAAAAAAAAATATCAGTATCCCATTACTTAGAGAAAAATATGGAAATATGTCAGGAGCTTATAAGAACTGATGGTATTTGAGAAATATTTTCAGTTATGGGGCAGATAATTTACTATCTATAAGATACTACTTAACTATGATGCAGCAGAACATTACTGCAATCTTCCCATTTGGGCTGTTGTAGCTGACAAAATATGGGTTCAGCTTGTACACAGAATGACACACTTTCATTTTTTTATTGTTATTAATACTCCATTTCTTTAATGTGTTACATCGTATCCATTGAATTACAAGTTAAAGTGGCTGTAAATCTCTGACATGAAATATGAACAAAGCATATCCCTCTATAGAGTGTACTTGTCTCAATCCAGAACACTGTCATTTCTTTCGGCTGCTTTATTGCTCTCTATCAGCATGAGTCACTTCTAGAGTTTTCCTGACACCAAGGGAAAAATGGTGACAGAGGAGGGATCTCCAGCAGATTGACAGCCTCATTTCTGTTCCTGTGTGCTGTGTGAAGGAAGGGGGGGGGGGGGGGGGGGTCCCTTCCCTTCCCTTCAATCAGCTCTCAGAGCTCTCCTCACTGATCTAACTTCAGCTTCCTGCCCCCTGCTTTTCAGAGCTGACCTAATGTTTGAAGCAGGATCGAGCTATTTAGGAGTACCCCTAGGAGGGAATAAGGAGGATTCTAATGGAAATACTCATAACACAAAGATTTTAAATGATATCTGAATGGCCTAATTCTTGAAGTAAAACTGTATTCCATTTTAAGGGTACAAATTCCAGCCTAAGAAAAACAGAGGCAGCTCCAGACATTGACCACAGGGGAGGGGGTGAATAATACTTCCATCAGTGGGTACCTTTGTTATGCAGGCTTGGTCGTCTCACATCAGTCACTTCCACGCTATTTTCTCTTCTACCAAAAGTGCTTAATTTGCTGTGACCGCAAATTACCTTGTCAATCACTCAGGCTCTGCGTGACTTAAAATGGTAATAAAGGTTAATGACAAGTATTCTTAGAAATCCTGCCTCCCCCCTTTCTATGGATTGCTGCAAAGCCTGTATAAAAAAGCTCAGTGCACATATCAAGAGCTGCTACATCCCTGTGATATGGGTTGGCCACCTATCACTTCTGGGCAAACCCATAGCTTGTCATGACTGGTCACATCTTGGATAGGTCTTGATAGTTTACCATTTTAGAACTCTGAAGGGACATCTTAGGCCTTCTCTTCTCCATCCCTCCCCGGTTCTTACCCCTTGCTTCCCCAGTCCTCTTGTTCTCTTTTTTCCAGTCTTTCCAGGACTGGGGCCCTCAACCCCCACTCTTTTTTTCCACTTGCCTTCTTTCTAGTTATAGACCCTCTCTCCTCCTAGCCTTACCTCACTTTCCAAAATTGGATAGGCATCGGAAACCACTATATTGGAAACTATAGCTGGTAGCAAGCCACTGAGGTTTATGTACCAATTGTCTGTGGCCTCAACCAGAGGTTTACTGACCTTTTATGACAGCGCTGTATTCATTAGTATTTGTATGAGTTGCCATGTTATGTTCCTTGGTTTGTCAACCTTCATCTTCCTTTTTTTTTTTTTTTTTTTTTTAATTTAAATATTTATTAGTTTTTCATTTTTTACAAAAAAAATCCATAAGAAGAGATAACAATACATATAAATATTCCATACATTTCTACCTTGCCCCTTCTAATAAATCTTTTCTTTCCCTCCCCTCCCAACCCTTTCCCACCCCCCTTCCCCCTCCCTCCCCTTTGCACGTTCTATACTCTCTCGAGGTCCAATAGTTTCTTAATTTATAGTTTTCTATACTTCTCTTTCAGTCCTGATTTTTCCCATCTTGTATAGTATATTTCCATCCTATCTTCCTGCATATAGTAAGATTTTTCCATTCTACTTATCTGATTTACTCTGTTGATCCAGTCTTCCTCCTTCGGCACCTCTGATTTTTGCCAGAACTTGGGTATCAACCCCTTTGCAGCATTTAAATAGTACCATACGCCTGATTCTTTATATTTATTTACTGTGATCCCAACACTATGTAGGAGACATATCGTTGGGTCTAACCCTATGTCATTTCCAGTTATTATTTCTATTGAGTTAACTATTATCTTCCAGAAAGCCTGAATTTTCGGACATTGCCACCAAATGTGAAACACCGTGCCCTCCTCCCCACAACCTCTCCAACACATTTTAGAATTCTCCCCCTCATCTTGTGCTCAATACTCTGTGTGATATGCCATCGTGTCAAAACATTTATAGTTCATCTCCACATCTCTCATACTAACATTCTCGTGTATCAATCTATATATCTTGTTCTGTTGGTCCTCGTCTAACACCACCTCCATATCTCTTTCCCATTTCGTTATAAAAATTAACTTTGTGTCTGTGTCTAATTCTGAGAGTATTCTATAAACTTTGGCAATTCCGTGTTTCCCATCTCTACGTGTTTCCAACAACCTTTCAAACATATTCCAATCCTTTTTTAATCTCAGGGGTTTTGGTAGTTTTCCAATAAAGCATTTTTAACTGATGATATTTCCACTCGTCTATTCCAATAAAACTTTCTCCCTTCTTCTCTTTTAATTCTTTAAATGGTCTCAATTCCCCCTCTACCAGTACATCTCTCAGTTGGATATCTTCCCTTTTAAACCATCTACCAGATATCTCGTCCTTTCCTGGGGGGAAATAATCAGAATTTACAAGAGGCATTAATATAGAATTGAATTCCCATTTCCTACTTTTGTGTAAATTATCCCATAACCTTAAAACATTTAAAGTGTAAATACTTGTGCTTTCTTTAACTCTTCTAAGATGTGCTGGAACCCATATCATCTTACTCAAACTAATCCCACTCAATTCGTTTTCAATTTTTACCCAACTCTTCCCCTTGTGGTTGAATGTCCAATCATAAATTCTTGCTAAAATTACTGCTTTATAGTATCTCTTGACATCAGGTAGTCCCATTCCCCCTTTCTCTTTAGTTCTACTCAATATTTCATATGATATTCTTGATTTTTTGTTCCTCCAGATATATCTTATTAACATTTTTTTCATTATCTTAAAAAACACCTCTGGCAGTTTAATTGGGACCATTTGGAATCTATACAGTATTTTAGGTATGATTACCATTTTAACTAGGTTTATACGTCCTATCCATGATGGGTTTCCACCTTCTAATATTTTTAATTCTTCCTTAATCTCATTTATCAAAGAAATATAGTTTAATCTATACAGTTGTTTATATGAGATGGCAAGTTTTATTCCTATTTTAAATCTTTTTCTCTCCATGTAAAGGGGAACTCTTTTTGTAGCTTTTCCTTTTCACTCTTTGGTACGCTGATGTTCAAGATCTCTGTTTTTTTGTTGGATTAATTTTTAAATTTGATAGATCGCCATATTCCTTCAAGATCTTCATTATATTTGGTAATGTTATTCGAGGGTTGTCTACATAAAACAATAAGTCGTCCGCAAAGGCCGCTACTTTATGCTCTGTATTTTCTATCTGGATTCCCTTTACCGCTCCACTATTCCTTATCGTAGACAACAGGGGTTCCAATGACAGAACAAACAGCAAGGGGGACAGTGGGCAGCCCTGTCTTGTTCCATTGGACATTCCAATGGATTCCGACCTCTCCCCATTTACCGTGATAATTGCGGTGGGCTCCCTATATAATTTTCCTATCCACTCACGCATTCTCTCTCCAATCCCCAACACTTCTAAGTTGTCCATCATGAAGCCCCAGTCCACTCTATCGAACGCCTTTTCGGCATCAATCGACAATAGTACCGTCGGGGCCCTTCCCTTTTCTACTTTTCTGAATGAGCATCAGTGTTCTCAACCCGTTGTCTCTACCCTCTCTCCCTGGGACAAAGCCCACCTGATCTCCGTGAATCCATTCAGGCATTAGATCTTTCAGCCTATTTGCTAGAACCTTTGCGTACAACTTGGTATTGGTGTTCAATAATGAAATTGGTCTATAGCTAGAACACTGGGAAGGGTCTTTTCCCTTCTTTTGAATGAGTACAACATGGGCCTGAAGAGATTCTCTTCTCCCCTCCATCCCTCCTCCCA